ATGCCAGTCCTTTTGTTGTGGAGGAAGCACTCCTGGAGGGAGGGATTTGGGGCCATCCCTCAGGACTTGCTTTCTTGCCCCCACAGTCATCCTAACAGATGAGGAGGTGCAGCGTAAGAGGGAGATGATCATGAAGCGAAAGGAGGAAGAAGCCTTGAAGGACAGTCTGAGGCCCAAGCTATCCGAGGAACAGCAGCGCATTATAGCCATCCTGCTGGATGCCCACCACAAGACCTATGACCCCACCTATGCTGACTTCAGGGATTTCAGGGTATGTCTGCTGGCCCAGGGCTTGAGAATCAGATATAGCCTAGGCATGGGGAGCCCGGATGGAGGGTCAGGGAGGAGCTGGGAAGATATGGAGGCCATGCTGTCCCCTGTGAGCCGTTCCCCTTGCAGACCTTCCCTGAAACCTTTGTTCTCAGAGGCAGGAGAATAGCCCCCAAATAGGGACCTCTGAGAACCCATCTTTGCCTTCCAGCCTCCAGTTCGTATGGATGGGAGTGAAAGGAGCTATCCTGCAGGGCCCACACTCAGCTTCTCCGGGGATTCCTCCTCCTCCAGCTCCGATCTGTACACAACGTCACTGGGTAAGGAGCCCTTCACCCAAGCAAACTGGGGGGAAAGTGTCCACCTCCACTCGCTCTTAGGCTATAGGGAAGGGACAGAAATCTCCTATTTGCATACGGTGTGTGGGATACAGCCCTTCTTTCATGGAAAGAGGGCTGGCTTGTGAAAGATATGTGCTGGGAAGAGACCAAGCTGGGCTTCTGGCTGCACAGATGGGCCCTCTGGGTCCAGGCTCAGCCTCTGAGCTAAGCTCTGTCCTTAACTTCTTCCCTGGAATGACCTGGAGGTCACTCACTGCTCAAGGTGTTGGTCCTGGACTCTTTGGAAGGTGAAACTGATGTGGGAAGATGACCTATGATGCCAAGGGCCCTATGGCCTGAGTACTGGGGGGACTGAGCACCATCGCCTTGGACAACCTGTCGCCTTCAACTTCTGAGTTTGTGCTTTTCTGCTTTGGGTTCTCTTACATGTACATCTTCATCATCCTGCCTCGTCCTTCCTTCTTGCTCTATCTCTCACCAGTTCTGGTGTCCTCCTCTCAGGACCTGGAAGAAGGTGGGGATGGGACCCCCCTCTCCCTGCCCGCCTCACACATGTGTGCACATTCTGGGTAACCACAGTCTTGACCTTCACTTAGGACTCTGGCACACCTCTGGATGGATTGAAACTGGGTGCTAGTGCCAAGTGGACTGAGATAACTGCGCAGACAGTGCCTACCTACCAGAAATGAAGAGAGGGAAGTGGTCAAACACGAAAGAAAAGCGCTGGGCATGGCTGTGACTGGCACTCCCTTCCCTCCCCTCACTGGGATCCCCCTCCAGCCAGTATTCATTCTGCTTTCCATAGATGATGTAGTCATTGTCCTAGCTATGGACAAACAGTACTTCAGCTTTTTGTAATCATGTATGCCCATTAGGTGATTCTATTATTCTTTATTTTATTTGTTTATTTTTAAATTTTTCTTTTTTTTAAAACCAGTTTTATTTCATGTGCAATGGTGTGAGGATGCCAGATCCCCTGGAACTAGAGTCACAGACAGTTGTGAGCTGCTATGTGGGTGCTGGGAATTGAACCCGGGTCCTCTGCAAGGATAGCCAATGCTATTAACCACTGAGCCATCTCTCTAGCCCCTCTTTATTTTATTTTGCGATAGGGTGTTACTATATAACATTGGCTGTCCTGGAGACCAGGCTGGCCTGGAACTCATAGGAGATCACTTGCCTTCTGGGTGCTGGGGAATTTTAAACTTTTCATAAGTTCATTGGTCCAAGATCCTTATACCCACCAATGTGTATTCACATAGTATGTTTACAAACTCAGAAAGGTAAAATGATGTTAATTAAAAATTGTTATACAGAAGTAATACACATTCACCATAGCTATTTAGAAAATGTAGGTGAATACATTTTGTTGCATAATATAATCTTTGATCCTAATGTTCAAAGGAAATTACTGTTAACCCCTTGATATGTCTTTCTGATTCCCTTCAGAAATGGAATTGTGTTATGTAGCCTGATGATTCGTGGCCCTTCTCTTTTTTCATTTTATTTTAAAAAAAAAAAAGAAATATCAAAATCCCCTATTGTTGGATATCTATATTGCTTCCCAGTTTTTTTTAGTGTTTCTCCTGATAAATATTTATACTTAATCCAATTTTTTTCTTATAATGAATCCGTGGAAGTGGGATCACTACACACATAATGATAAGATCTCTCTCTCCTGGGGTTCCATCCTCTTGTCTTCACCTCTTGAGAGCTGGTATTACAGGAGCACATGACCACACTCAGCAACTGAAGGCTTTTCACTCCTGGTTTCAAGTAGTTTTTTAGATGACCTGCATAGCCACACATCTGCAGCACCTTTACCTGCGTAAGACTCTCTTCAATGCTTCAGTCTTTACAAATGCCAGCATCCATTTTATATTTGTCTTCAGTGTGTAGTTGGAAAATGTAAATATTCTCTACCTTGTAGGAAGTGAGCTTTTTGCCCCATGGGTTAAGGAAGTCAGCTTTTGCCCCTGGGTTGAGGGGTCCCAAACATGGTTTTAATTGAGTTATTAGGAAGACTGCATGCTTTGCAAAATTATAGATAAAAAGGACTTTTTTCCAGACTATCTCTGGCTTCTTGGATTTACTGCCTCAAAGAGCTAAAATAAGAGATGGGGAGAGACCCAGAGGGAGCCTGGGTAGGAAGAGGGACTCTGGGAGAAAGCAGTCACTATGAGGTGACTTTGCCTCAGGTCCTCACAGGAGGGCCTGGCCGGGGTGTCCCTAAGTAGTTCCCTCTCTTTCGTCATCTTCCCCAGACATGATGGAACCATCCAATTTTTCCAACCTGGATCTGAATGAAGAGGACTCTGATGACCCTTTGGTGAGCCTGGATCTGTCCCAGCTCTCCATGTTGCCACACTTAGCGGACCTGGTCAGCTATAGCATCCAAAAGGTCATCGGCTTTGCCAAGATGATACCAGGATTCAGGTAAGAAGCTCTTGTGGTGTGCTGGGAAACTGTCAGGATCCTATGTGGTACTAGACAATATCTGGCTTCCCCCAATGACAGCCTCAGGCTCATCCCAGAGGGCTTACACCAGGACCTCTGGGCCAGTCCAGGACTGTCCTTTAGCACATGTAGCTGCCCAGTATTATTTTGAGAGACTTCTGAGAGCAGCTCTGCTGCTCACTTTCTGGGTGATGAAATGACATCCTACTGAGGTTTCATGACCAGCTAGGATCCTTTTAGGGCATCAGAACCAGATCAAGGAGCCCTAGCTACCTGCAGCTGGCTCCCACTGCTGCCTTGAAACTAGTTCTCACGTCATCCATTTAGATTCAACCTACAAGGTTCCTGCACACCCAATTCTGAGGCCAGGGTGAAGTGACAATGAGGAGAGCATATAGGACTTCTGGACTTGTGAAATAATTCAGGAATCCTAGAAAACTGGGGCAGTTTCCCTGGCATACATGACCTGTCCATTCCTCATCCAAATCTGTATCAAAATACCATCTCCTAATCATAAGCCCTTCTTTCCAAAAATAGGTGGAGATAAAGAGTTCTTCTAGGGGAAGTGTTTTGCCTTACAAACTCGTTCAAGCAGATTTTGCTCACTCATGTCTAAATTTGCTTTAATAATTGCATATGGAGTTGGAGAGATAGCTCAGTGGTTAAGAGCAGTTGTACAAATGTTAAGACCAGAATTCATATCCTTAGTACCCACATAAGAAATCCAGGCCAGGGCGGAGAGCTAGCTCAGCAGTTAAGAGCACTGGCTGCTCTTCCATAGGACCCAAGTTCCATTCCCAGCACTTACATGGTAGCCCACAACTGTCTGTAACTCCAGTTTCATTCAGGGCGTCTAATACTCTCTTCTGGCCTCTACAAGTACTGCATGCATGTTGTATGCAGACATATTCACAGGCAAAATGCCCATACATATAAAATAAAAATAAAGGTTTAAAAGAAATCCAGACTAGTGTGGTAGTCCTATAACCCCAGCATTTGGAGGCAGAGGGGATCCCCAGGGCAAGTTGGCTACCTGGACTAGTCACATCAACCAGCTCTAGGACCTAGGAAGAACTTTCCTCAATATATAAAGTGATGAGGGATCAAGGAGGATGTCCATGGTCAATCTCTGGCCTCCACATGTATGCTTACACATATATTTATACACATTTGAACATATACACACCACATGTGTATATGTATATACAGGCATGTATGTTACTTATATACATGCAGTACTAAATATTCTTAAAACAATACAGTAGTGTCAATATATATATGTATATATATATATATACATATATATATATATATATTGAAATATGATTAGACCTACATCCAATCTCTTCATTGTTTCCAAAAGTTCACTGGGTACATTTCCATAAAATCTGTCTATAACATGGTCAAGAAGTCAAGTTAACACAAAGCAATGTTGTCATCGTCCCTTCCCGTGGTAGCAATAGCTAAGGCCAAACTGTTTCCATATGCTGGAACTAGGGTTCCCTGCTTAGTCCTGGGAGCTGCTGGTGACTTAACGTTGGCCGCCTTTGGATAGATGCTAACATGAGGCATTTTTCGTGGTTTTGCCAACTTTTCACTGTGAAGGAGGAATTAGTTATTGTTGAAATTACCACACCATCCTCTCAAACCTCTCAGCACTGGTGGTTCACAGAGCTAACGCAGCACCTCCCAGTTGGTTTCTGCCAGGAGACAGCCTATGTGTTGCCTTATACATCTCACGAACTCGATAGAATCATGTGACTAACATGTAGAAGAGAAACAGGACAGTGTTGAGACCACGCCCCCCCAGCCCACCCCTGGACCTCACTGCACATTCAGCTGTGGCGATAGGGCCAAGGGCCGTTCTGTCAGCCAGGTGGGCACACAGAGTCTCCTGTGTGGAGTGAGGCCTGCTTCACCCTCAGAGCCTAGCCATGGAACTGGCAACACATTTTGTTTAGTATAAATTCCACCTCCTTCTATCATGCTGCACACTGCTATTTGTAAGCTCTGTGCCTTCTCAAGTTTTATTTTGTGTAAACAACTAGAAACAAAACAAAACACTCCAAGGTACTGGAGTCCAGCTGGCTCCCACCTGAGTCTGAGGAGTCTCCTCCATTAGCATCTTTCCTCACTATGATGGGGGGCAGGGTTGGACAGGTAGCTTCTGAGAAACCCCCCTCCCACCAATATGCTAAAGTTTGGTGTTTGGAAGAAGTAGAGGCTGGAAAAACATCACTAATCCCGACCACCCAGCACTGCCTCCTCCCGAGTGCCCCAGCTTCTGCCCCCCAACCCTCATATCTCATTATTATTTAGCTCTTACTATTTACTCTGTCTTCCGTTTCTCTCTCCAAGGCTGAGACAGTCGACTCCTTCCTTTCCTTTGGAGCCCCATTTCCCCACAGGGTTCACTAGCCTAGTCCTGTAGTCATGGTTAAAGTGCAATATACATGAGCAGACATGGAAGCCACCCAGGACTTGGGCAAAACAGGCTACATTGATGCTGAACAACCTTGGGTTGGCTTCTCTTTCTTCAGCATGACCTGAGACATCTCAGCTGATTATTTTCAAGAAGAATGGGCCAGGTCTTGGCCAGAGCTCTGGAAGTACACTAACGTGGGTACCCTGACCAGACAGAGGGGTGCCGCACCTGGACAGGAGCCAGCCCGGCAGCTCCCTGGGTCTGTGGTTGCCACACTAAGGGGTTACATTTTTCTGAGAACAGTAGTTGCCTCCCTGGCAGCTTTGATCTTGCTGCCCGAAGGCGAGGCAGACAGGTGGAGAAGGCAGGATGAGATGTCTGTGTGGGTGAGGGGACTGGGGCTGGGATGCCACTCCTGCATGGGCATGGAACCAACGCAGGGCAGGAGTTCCTGGGTTCTTCTGGGTGTGCACAGCACAGTAGTGTGCCCTTGGCTCTGCTCCCTCCTCCTACCTACTCTCCCTCCTCTGCTCCAGATCACCCACAAACCTCTTTGTGCTGCAAAAGAAGTGCATGGAGGAGGTAGGGTCAAGAGCAGCTTCTAGATGGCCAGGAGCAGCCATGGATACACAGGCTGAGCATGTCCGGGCTGCTGTACCCAGTGAAGTAGGCTACAAGGCCACAGCTGCTCAAGCTCCGCTTCATGAGTTATAAACACCGGCAGCCTTGCTGCCACCTACATCTCCAGGGACACCTCCAGTCACAGGCCCTAGAGGCTTCCCTCACCCTCTCCTGCACAAGCATGTACCCTTCCACCCAGCAGCTTTCTTGTCTGAACTGTGAGGGATGGAAGTTGATTAGGACACCATCTCCGGCCTCCAGGGACTCTGTGTCTGATAGAAGAGATAGGCATGTAAACAATGGCTGCCAATAGATAAGAACTCTGCAGAAAACCTGCTGGAGGTACCACACCGTGGGAAGGCAGGCAGGGAAAGGCTAGCCAGACAGCACCTTAGTTCCAAGGCACACCTCAGGTGTGCTGAAGTGGTCACAGATGTTAATAGTGACTGGTGGTAGGCTGGGAGAGATGTCACTTGATCAAGCATTGAGCTGATACTTGCTTTAGCAGAACAAACCCCTTCACAGTTTCCTGGGAACCATGCTTAGAAAGTCCCTGCATTTCCCCCCTGTGGGTGTAATGTGGGATCGTTATAGGTTTCCCCACAGCAATAGTGTGTCTGGATTATAGTAAACACCGATCCTATTGAAATCCGCCTTTCATAGCAGCCAGCCTGACTACTTACTTCTAGACATCTATTCTGAATAGAGCAAAGACCTTCCTCACAGTCACAAGGAATAGCAAGAATGAGAAGTGACCAAGCTGTCTTGTATAGTGCTGTGATACAACATTACACTGCTTACTGAGAAAGAAGCTGGTTTTAAAAAAAATTTATATGATTTTATACTTTTTCTGTAATTCCTAATGAGAGTGAGCTAAAACTCAAATGAAATCCGTGCTAGCATTCATTTGTTTTTGACACCAGGTCTCACTTTGAAGTTCAGAGTGGTCTGAAACTTAACTGTGTAGCCCAGGCTGGACTCAAACTCAGGATAATCTCCCCTACTTCAGCCTCCTGAATGTTATCATAAGCATGAATCACTACAGCTGGTTAGTGTTTTTCTTTTTGTTTTTGTTTGTTTTTTTGTTTGTTTGTTTGTTTGTTTTTGTTTTGAGACAGGGTTTCTCTGTATTTTGGAGCCTGTCCTGGAACTCACTTGGTAGACCAGGCTGGCCTGGAGCTCACAGAGATCCGCCTGACTCTGCCTCCCGAGTGCTGGGATTAAAGGCGTGTGCCACCAATGCCTGGCTAGTTTTTTCTTTTTTAACATGCATTGAGTATTTATACTTAGAAGCATTTAGATGCCATATTGTTAAATTTATTATTGCATATAAAAAGATAATAGGACACAATAGTTCTCTTAAAAAAAAAAAAAAAGCCGGGCGTTGGTGGCACACACCTTCAATCCCAGCACTCGGGAGACAGAGACAGGCAGATCTCTGTGAGTTCAAAGCCAGCCTGGTCTACAAAACGAGTTCCAGGACAGGCTCCAAAGCTATAAAGAAACCTGTCTTGAAAAAAAAAATACAGGACTGGTGAGATGGCTCAGCAGGTAAGGGTGCCTGCCAACCCAAGTCTGATGTCTGAGTTCAAATTTCCCAGAATCCATGGGAGAGGAAGAGAGAGAAAACTGATTTTCCAAAATTGTCCCCTGACCTCCACGAATATGCCATAGCGCACATGCACCACCACCACACACAATAACAATAACAGTAAATAAAACTTTAAGATAAAAACATTCAATTAGCTATGGTAAGGAGTCTCACAGCTACTAGAGACATCTGGTGGTTCTGTGTGCCGCTAGAACATTGGTTTTCTCTGGTCCTATTGGTTATCACTCAATAGAAGAGGTGGCTATTGATGCAGGAGCTAACTAAGTTTCACAGTTGGTTCCAGGGGCTGTGAACTTGGCTCTTGGAGAAATCTGCAGCCGCCATGTGACATCCATTCATCAAGCATGCTGAAGAGGAACTGGCCACACAGTCTCCAGGGGAACTTCCCAGTGGAGTACCTGTGCAGTTTCTCCGTCCTGGTCCTTGGCTAGCCGCCTAACCGTGGAAGCCTTTCGCTTCCCACCATGTATCGTCCATTTCCTGCACTTACATACTAAAGTGTTTCGGAAAACATTTTAGCCTGTCTACAGAAGTCTCCTACAGAGGAATCTAGATAGTCAGGAAAAGAAAGAAGGGAAAGCCAGAAGCAAGCTGGCCTATCAACTGCTTCTCCCTGCCGCTGCTCAGACAAGCCCAGCTCTTGACTCAGAAGACTGCAATGATTGGCCTCTTGTCACACCAACTTGTTTATTGATCCTCTTGTGCCCAGGGTTCCATGATCATTCTGTGGGAAACAATAACGCAATTGAGAGATGGTGTTGGCTCTCAAGTAACTTATAAACAAAACTTAGAGCTGGGAGTGGTAATCCCAGCTCTGAGGAGGCAGAAAAAACTCCAGCCAGCCTGGGCTACGTAGAACTCCAGAGTCCAGAACACAAAACAGAGGCAGAGGCAAGCACAGGCAGGGAAGGGTAAAAGGTGAACACCCTCAATATACACTGGTGACAGAGAAAACCAACTCTACCGATTTGGCCAGACTGCTCGGAGTGAGTAGGGACTCCGAGGAAGATCACACTTGGTTTTGAGACCAGAAAGGTGTGATGGAACATTAGAAGATGTTTTTGAGCTGGGCAGTGGCACACGCCTTTAATCCCAGCACTTGGGAGGCAGAGGCAAGCGGATCTCTGTGAGTTTGAGGCCAGCCTGGTCTACAGAGTGAGTTCCAGGACAGCCGGTGGGGTGGGAGGTGTTTCTGAACCTGGTGAGATGGTTCAGAAAGCAAATGCTCTTGTTGTCAACCAGAAATGTAAGTTCAATCCATAGGACCCACATGGTAGAAGGAGAGAAGAGACTCTCCCAAGTTGTCCTTTGACCTCCACCCATGCACTGTAGCTCATGCACACACACACACACACACACACACACACACACACGCACACACACACACACTCTCCATGTGCACACAAGATAAATTCATGTAATAAAAAATAAAAGAAAGATTTGTTCCTAGCTGAAACTGTACCTCCTCAAAGGTATGATGTGTAGGAGTGCATCAAAATTGAATGCAGAGCGGCTCCATGTTGCAAGAGTGGAGGGGTGGTGGCGTTTGCAATGGGAAAGAGGCCTGGAAAGTCCAAGCAGAGCCAAATTGTGGAGTCTGGGCTTGATCTCGGAGTGTTTGATCCTAGGGAGGATCTTGGGCACAAGAATGACATTGCCCTGTAGCAGCAATGGGAAAGATGAATGAGAGCCTTGAGACTCTGAGATTCCAGTAGGAGGCTGTTGCACAAACCGTCGAGAGGGCCGTGTCTTAGTGGCTGCGAAGAGACTCCTTGACCAAGGCAATGCTTGCATCTAACTGGGGACTTGCTTACAGCTTCAGAGGGTTAGTCCATGATCATCATGGCGCGAAGCAGGCAGGCATGGCAGTAGCTGAGAGCTTTACATCCTGATCCACAGGTGGCAGGCAGAGAGAGAACCACTGAACCTGATTTGGGCTCTTTAAACCTCAAAGCCCACCCCCAGTGATACACTTCCTCTAACATGACCACACTTACTCCAGCAAGGCCAAACCCTCTAATCTTTCCCAAACAACTCCAATCTCTAATAACTAAGCATTCAAATACATGAGCCTACGAGGGCCAGTCTCATTCAAACCACCACAGCTGTGGAGACAGCTCAGGAGCTCAGTTGCCTCTTTTGCAAGCATGAAGCCCTGAGTTCAGATCCCCAACATACATGTAAAAGCCAGATGAGGCCATATGGATCTGTAACTCCAGTGCTAGGGTAGAGGGGCAAATAGATCCCTGTAGCTCAGTAGCCCGGCAGTCAAGCTGAAAGGCAAGCTCTGGGTTCAGCAAGTAACCCAATCTCCAGACACAGCGTTCAACGGAAGACATTGGACATCAGCCTCTGGTCTTTACGCATACACATGCACCAAGAACAAAAACGATGGAGCTCTGAGCCATAGAAGTCCTAGTGGAAACAGGAATGAACTCAAGGACCCAACAGGTGTCCTGTAGACTCTGGTTGAGCTTTCTTTGGATGTCCTTTCTTCCTGTCCACAGTAGCCTCTGCTATCAGTCACTGTACTCCTGGAAAAGCCTTGGTTTCTTCTCCCCCAGACACATTTTCTTGCGTTTCAGGATAACCCTGTCCAAACACTAAACAAGTGCCTGTGACTTGAAGATTTTTACTGCTTACCTGACCTCCCCCTCCCTGCCTTCTCCACCAGGGATCTCACCTCTGATGACCAGATTGTACTGCTCAAGTCAAGTGCCATTGAGGTTATCATGTTGCGCTCCAATCAGTCTTTCACCATGGATGACATGTCCTGGGACTGTGGCAGCCAGGACTACAAGTATGATGTCACTGATGTCACCAAAGGTGCAGTTGGACTCCTCATCTGTTTCCTCCAGCTCCCAGACTCTGGCTTTCTAGCCTCTGGACTCTTGGGGTTGTGACCAGGCGCATGGAAGGAGACTGGGCAGCAATGGGGAGAGAAGGGCTAGGGGAATGCCCAGTAATGGATTCAGGTAGGGTGGGTGCTTCTACTCTCATGCCGGCTGTTCTCCTTCACAGCTGGGCACACCCTGGAGCTGATCGAGCCCCTCATAAAGTTCCAGGTGGGGCTGAAGAAGCTGAACTTACATGAGGAGGAACATGTCCTTCTCATGGCCATCTGCATCGTCTCCCCAGGTATGGAGCCGAGCAGCGAGGAGCAGAGAGACCTGGGATGTGGTGGGGACTGTTAAGTGATAAAGACCTGCTCAAAGCCAGCAGGGTAGTCTGAGGGAGAAGTGAACAAGAAAGGCAAATAAGGAAATGCTCATTTTGCTAGGTTTGCATAGTCCATAGGGCATGTGGAGGGGGCCTCAACACATGTGGCTGTGGTGATATATCTCAGCACCTGGCATCACATGACTTTAATCCCAGCACTAGAGGGGTATAAAAGATAGGAGCAGCAGGGTCTTCAGTAGTCAGTATCAGCATTTATTCTCCATCCACACTGAGGAGAGGAAGACATTCAGTCTTAGGATTCTCCAGCCACGCTGAGGATAGGCAGTAGAATCAGCCCTTTCAGCCTGAAGTAGTGGTAAGAGCTAGTGACCCCCTTCTTTGCTTTTCTAATCTTCAGCTTGAAGTTTGAACCCCAATATCAGTCTCTGGATCTCTTATTTTTTGTGTTACATGTGGCTTTGTCCCATGGAGCCCAGGGTGATTCATAGGACTTTGAGGAACCAGATGAACAGGGTTCCATAGGCCACATTTAGGCCTTGGGTGTTGCCAATACTCAAGTTCTGTTCTTGTGTGAACTGGGATGAACTTTTCTGTCACCTGAGATTCCTTGGAGACAGGGCACAAACCCTTGTGGAGCAATGGATGGTTTCTGCCTGGGTTGATTTTGGAGGCTGTGGGCTTGTGACCCGAGGGGGAAGAAAACTAAGAAGGAACTTATGGTCATAGAGATGTTATATCGGTGATAAAGCCCAAAGGATTCAGCCCTGGCTCGGGGGAAAAGCTATTGGCCTGTGCCCAGGAATGCCTTCCCAGACTGACGGCCCAAGGGATAGACATAGGTTTCCCTCCCGCTGCCCAGCTGGCATGTATCACTCATTCACATGCTCAATAATGATTTCCTGAGCACTTACTATGGCCAGGCACTGGGCAAGGCGCAGGGAGTCTCAGCAAAAAGGATAGACTTTTCTCTCATGAAGGTTAGGGGAAGCAAATGCTAGTATCTACTCATTTGCAATATGATAAGAGTTTTGAATATGAAGATGGTGTGATGCTACAGGAGACATCCTGAGGTTACCTGGAGCAGGGAGGTGGAGGGTATTGGGGGACAGCCTTCAGGAAGGGCTTTGAGTCTGGTCCCCAGTGATCTGTCAGTCAGGCAAGTAGACAAGAGCTGACTCCCAGGCAGAGAGAAGATCGGTTGGCCACTGTGGAGGATAAGAATACCAAAGACTGAGCCTAGAGGCAGAAGGAGTGACGAGGTGGGAACAGATCCAGAGGCGCCCATGGAAGGACTTGGTCCCAAATGCAGTGGGTTGTCGTTGGGGGAATGCTGATATGGGTATCTGTGTGGGTGGATATTTCGAAACTGAGCATTGAGGAATTCATCTGAGCACCCCTGTGTCTCCCTCCATCCCCTGTGACACAGACCGACCTGGGGTACAGGATGCCAAGCTGGTTGAAGCCATTCAGGACCGTCTATCCAACACACTGCAGACTTACATCCGCTGCCGCCACCCACCCCCAGGCAGCCACCAGCTCTATGCCAAGATGATCCAGAAGTTGGCTGACCTGAGAAGCCTCAACGAGGAACACTCTAAACAGTACCGCTCCCTCTCCTTCCAGCCCGAGAACAGCATGAAGCTCACACCCCTTGTGCTAGAGGTGTTTGGCAATGAGATCTCCTGACCAGGGTGACCCACAGTGGTGCCTGGGTGGGGCCGCTCCTCCAGGGCCCTGTACCCAAGCTCTGGGCTGGTTGCAGCCCAGCAGTGCCTCCTGCCCCTTCTGGAGTTCAGTCCTTCCTCTGCCATCGCCCATGTCTGTCTAGCCCAACCTTTCCCCTGCCCAGCCTGTCTCCCTTTCCTGCAGACCACAGGTTGGCCCTGTCCCTTGAGACTTGAGTTATGAGAGACTGCTATTCATTTGACAAAGAAAGTCAAGTGGGGGTAGAGGGCAGAGGCTGCAGGCAGAGCCCTGCCTAAGCATGTTCCCACTATTAGGGGCTGCTGCTCGTTTCAAGGGAGGCAGGCAGGAGAAATGTGCCCATGCCTCAGGGACAGCTACCTGTACCTCCCCTGACTCTGGCCCCACCTGCCCAGAGCTTGGTGGGAAATCCCCTACCCCTGCCAAAAAGGGTACACAACTTACCCACAATCCCCTGCCTCCCATCTCATCCTGCCGCCAGTGTGTGCTATTCCATCCCAGGGCAGTAGCTCACTGTGGGGTCTCCTTCCTCTGCCATTATATTCACAGACTCATTCACTGCCAAGATGACCAAACACACAATCACATTAGCCAACGAGTACTCACCTAGCACTGTAGTTCCAGCCTTTCAGGATTTGTTATGGGAACCCCCAGGCCAGCACCTGTGGTATGGGCCTTCTTCTTCATTCCCAGAACCACTGACCTAGAAAAACACCCGAGGAAAGGCCCCTGGAATGGAACACAAGCCCAAGTAACAAAGTCAGACTCCCAGCAGGACCATGAATGGAGACACCTCTGTCCTTGTCATCAAGCCCAGGGTCCCTCAGCCTGGAGATACTGGGATCTCTTCTCTCACCTACAGATGTGCCCGGACCAAATGTCCCCAACTTTCAGGAAATTCCCAGCCCTGTCTTCACCCCTTACCCTGCCAGTGCCTTACCACCTACCTAGGAAAACACCTCTTTCTTGGGCCTCACCCTCTGGTCACCAAGAATGTCCCAAAAGTCATTTCAGCTTTCCCAACACTCCCATTTGGATCAGCAGTGTCCATCTGGTAGAGGGGGATGGAGGAAAACCAAGAGCTGCCCACGTGGGCCTCCAAGCCTGCTTTACAGATAGAAAACCAGACAGGAGTACTCCACACCTCGGGATAAGTGGAGAGGTGGTCAGAATGTGTGGGGTACAGTGATATGGGGCCAGTTCCCTCCTGATTCCCTCATTCCACCACTTCATAGTCAGTGTAGATCTATGAAATGAACAGGTGATGGACTAGGTATGTATCTTCAAACTCTACTTCTTCCTCTGCAGCAGCCCAGCCCAGCCCGGGAGTTTGGAACCCTGATCTTGCTCACCCCCAGCACACCCCTTTCTGATAATGGGTTGTAAGTGTGTGGGACCCATACAGAAGAGGTTCTCATAGGGGGACTCACAGAAGGCCCTCAGGTAAATGTTAGATTTGGGGAACACAGCCACATTGAAAGCACCAGCAGAATGCTAATGTCAGTGGGAATTGAGCCCCAGATGTGTCCTTCTATCTACATTAAAAAAAAATTTCCCTGAAAATCCTGGGGGAGAAAACATTTAACATTGAAAGAATCATTAGTGCCCACCTGGCCCTATGTTTCCCAGAATTCAATTGGAAAATATCTGGGGCCACATTCTTGTATTGCATAATGGCAGTCAGAAGACTTCATTTAAGATTTATTGGATCATGGTTGTCTTACAGGATTACACCCCACCTATACTGTGTTCTAACACTGAGGTGGCAACACCTGAATTAGCGATTTATGAGTGTGTGTGTGTGTGTGAAGATACTGTACATTGATGATTATTGTTACTCCACAAAAAAAACTAGAGAGACCTTTGATTTTAGCTGCAGAACACATTGATCCAGCTCACTATTCAATGGGAGGGAAAGTTTGAAAATTGCTAAGCTACTGCAACCCCTTTATGATGAGAACCTGCTATTAGAGGAGAGCGTGGTCTACTGGGGCTCTTACAAGTAGAAACATCCCCAGGCCTGGAGAAACTTGGAACTTATGGTCCTGGGCCATTTTATATCAAGCCTGTTTACCACTGCTCTGGTAGTTGACCCAAGATTTGAGGAAGCCCTGGATTTTAGAGCAAACCTTCATCTGGACTTTCTTTTTATCCTGAGTAAAAAACCCACTCACCCATCCAAAGGAGGAGGGAAGGCACTCCGGCCTCCCTGAGTGAGGCCTGGCTTTTGGATTCTCCACCTCAGCCCCGTGTGCTGCTATTGTCTTGTCAGTCTTTGGAAAGCCTCTCTTTCTGTCCTCTTCCCTTCCTGCCCTCTCAATGAAACTAACGGGCCAGAGAAGGCCAGTTACTCAGCCCAAGGGCCCACCACCACCGAGGGAGCCTCCCAAGGGAAGCCTAGGAACTGGGAGGAAAACAAAACAGGGCCAGGTAGGGTTTAGGAGCATCTAGTTTGTTTATTCTGAACACGCAAAGGTAGGCGTTGAAAGAGCTCACACTTCTGAGAGGTATTTTATTAGACATGAAGGAGAAATGGACAGACACCAACATGGAAAATCAGCAAGATTTCCTGAGCTAGGCAAATCCTCCTGCTGTCTAAGTGGAAGGAAGTAGGGGAGTCCCAGCCAGGCCAATAGTCATGGCTGAGACAAATGACAAACATGGCAGAAGGTAGACATCTAAAGAGCCTACCTCCAAAGAGGAAAAAAAAACGTTTTCCAAGAGCTTGCCAAATAAACCAATGAAAATGCTTTGCTGATGGTGATAAAAGTGGCTCATCCATACACAGCACTTACTTTGTGACAAGTACCGCTGTAAATAAACGCCTCATGAAAACCAACCTGCTTGATATTTATTAGGACCCTATGAAAGATGCGCTATTGTGGTTCCCACATGGCAGAGGGGATTAGTTGCCCAAAGCTACACAGGTGGTGAGTGAGAGGTGGGGTTCAGACCTGGGCAGCTGTCTCTGGAAGCCTTTTGTTAATTGCAATGTTCTACTGCCCTCTATAGAGTTAAGCGGGGTGGTAAATGTTTGCAGTCTTGCTTATCACCCTAAGGAGAGTTTCTATGCAGAGATGGGGAAACTGGAAGTGCGGGATCATAATGCTCTACCCCCAAGAAGCACCTGGCCTAATGTGTTGGCCTCAATCAGGTGTGGCACTTACCAAAGGACATCGAGAATGAAACCAAAGACCTACTGATAATAGTAGTCTTTGCGCTGGAGACAGTGGTTAGGCCAGTGCCTCGGAGTGCTACAAGTACCCCTGTGCTTGTATAACTATGACTCCTTGGGGGCCCAGAGGAGTAAGACAGATATAGCAAACAAGAATTCCCAACCAAGGACTCGGCACTGAAAACTGCAAATGACAGAAACCTGGGGTGTAATTTAATTTGCAGAAGCATCTGAAAAGATTTCAAGCCCCAGGCTAAAATGTGCCAGTGGAATGAGATGAAAGTCGAGGAACTAAAGAGAGGGCTGGAGGGCTTTGTCATGAGAAATAAGTCAACTTAGAGAAAGAAAACCCATAGTTACCTATGTCAGGCCTGTCTGTGGAACTGAGAAACAGTGTCATAAATCCCAGTGTTCCTAGAGATGATCCAGAAGAGCAAGCACACAATCTGGGAAACATTAGAATCAGACCAGAGTGATGAGTGTTCAAACACCAAGCTTTTGTTCTATACCTCACTGTTGAGCAACTTAATTTTTTATTTTATTTATGTATTTATTGGCTTTTCAAGACAGGTTTTCTCTGTGTATCCCTAGCTGTCTTTGTAGATCAGGATGACCTTGTACTCAGAGATGGACCTGCCTCTGCCTCCTGAGTACTCGGATTAAAGGCGTCTGTCACTGTCCCACACTTATATTTAAAATCACCAAAATCAAACCAAAGACAGGGCATGGTAGTGTACATTTTTAATTCCAGCACTTGGAAGGCAGAGGCAGGCAGATCTCTGTGGGTTCAAGGCCAGCCTGGCCTACAACGTGAGTTCCAGGATGGCAATAGCTACATAGAGAGATCCTGTCTCAAGAAACAAAACAAAACAAGCCACTTCTACTAAGCATTACAAGAAATAAAATAAAAAACCTCTCATAACTCTGTGGGGAAAAAAATCAAACCAAAGTAAGCATTCGGTTCTTCAACGGGACAAGTGCTCAGTGGCCTCAGAACTACCATTAGGGACCATGTGCATCAGAACATTTTTATTATCACAGAAGTGGTCTACCCCAAGCAGCTTTCCCTAATGCCTTATTTTTGGAGACAGAGTCTTACCATACAGCACAGGCTGGACTTACTATATAGCATAGACTTACTATATAGCATGGACTAATTTCAAACTCAATGCTCCTGGTGATGTGATATGTGGTACAAAAGGAACCTTGGTGGATGCCATGGTGGGTGAGGGATGAATACACCAGAACTTACATGGGGAGGAAGTTTTATTGGGAGAAGGGAAGGGAGGGGAGAAGGGAAGAGAGAGATAAAGAGACGGATAGACAGAGATTTGTCTGCCTCCTCAGAGAAATGTCAAAAAAGAGAGTGGGAGTGGGCTAAGCTTATCTCTTAAAGGGACCTTTGCACCTGCGTGCAGAGCCAAGGTACTGCATGCCTTGTGTGCAGGGGTGACCGTTCTTCCAGGTCCCCAAGGGGCAGAACCAGCTCTGCCTGGATGATAACCCCTGGTAGTATGAGAGAGGGGATGCTGTGTGGCGGGGCTCACTGCTGCAGACAACTAACCACTCCGAGTCGCCGTATACATGCCATATACCGGGTTGTGTTGTGAGGGGTTCAAGGGAAGCAGATTCTAAAATGGAGTTTGAGGGCCAGAGTTTTACTGGAGAGAGGTTGTATGGGATAATGTGAGACAGAAGAGCTGGGCTGAGAAATATTCCAATGAAAGTCTTAATGCCAATCAAGGGGAGCCTGGAGCTGTGCTGGACTTTGGCTGGCCTCCTATTGAGGAAGATGAATTTTCTATTTTTTAAAAATTAATTAAATGTATTCATTTTACACCCCTCTTCTCCTCCCATCTCCCCTCACCCTGGTTTTCTTTTATTTCAGAGAGCCATTAGGTGCAGGATATCCCCCAGAATCAAGGGTGACCTTGACATGACCTTGAGATATATTTCTTTTCATTCTATCTAGCCCAGGCAGGAACTTTTTCAGAGGACTGCTCTGGCTTGGGGAGAAGGTAGAAGTATTCCAGTGGCTTCCTTGTGGTTCTGGGGAAGGAGACCCCCCTCTCTACCCAGTTCCTTGAGCCCCCATCCCCAGTCAAACCTCACCTGGAGACTTATCTTGAGACTCACCACTAGGGGGAGTTACTACCCTACAGCAAAGCCCTGAGGTCCTGCTGCTGAAGTCACCTGATGGTGTTCCCCTCCTCTTACCCCAGTACACTGGACACCTCAAGCAGGGACCTCCCAAGGTCAAGACTTTGTACTTGTTGCCTCTGAGCCCCACCTGTGCTAAGAGTGAGAAACCTGAGGTTGTCCAGAAATCCGACTGTGTATTCTTTCCAAAGTTTGAATGTACAGGCCCACAAACAGACCATTGGAGACAGTAGCAGCGTAAGCCACCGAGAGTAACAGTTAAGGGCGGAAACTACACCCCGTTCTGAGGTTGTCACATGATGTTTTTGAGCCTTGGTTTCTTCCTCTATAAAATGGCAACAGTGACAGTAGCCACCTTGATGGGTCACTGTTGCTATACGTCAACCTGTGTAAAGAATTCATCACATTATCTTGCAGGTAACCATCAATCAGAAAGGCCTGACAGCATCATTGTTGGGCTGCAGGGTGGTCAAATAAATGTGTACTAAGGAGGTGACATTGTTCCCATGCTCTGACCACGGATTCTTTCTGGGTCACTTGATTGTCCCCAGAACTGATGTCTATAGCCTTTTCTTCAGATCTCAGCCTCTTGCTAGGGGTTTCTTATGGTCCCTAATTATCAGCATCTAAAGAATGTGTCATTGGGCCATCTGGCCACCAGAGGGCAGGTGAGTCACTTCTTCAGATCTCAGCCTCTTGCTAGGGGTTTCTTATGGTCCCTAATAATCATCACCTAAAGAATGTGTCATTGGGCCATCTGGCCACCAGAGGGCAGGTGAGTCATTTAACGAGAGCCAAATTGAACCCAACTGAAATCGGATTCTTGGGGGCTGAGGGGCAGAATCTACATCTGGATTCAAAGAATATGGTTACTGCGGTACCCAACTTCTTCAGTTATATCCTTCCTTTTCCAACTCCCTCCCCACAAACCAACAAACTAAGGAAAACTAAAACCAAAACCAGCACTACTTAACTCCCGACTTCATGATATGTGGATTACACCCATAAGCGAGGTGAATGGTGGCAGCTCAGAGCAGGAGGCTCTGCATAAGTGTCAAGAATCAGATTTGATCTGTCACCTTTGCTCGTGCCGCTTTGTCACTCACATATCCCAGGGTGCACTGTAATGCCACCTCTATCTCTCCAGGGTCCTTGTGTCCCCACGCCAGATGTTGAAACTTAAGCCACTGCTGTATCCAACAGTGGTTCCATCCAGCTCTCCACATGTGCATCTCAGAGCCTGCCAGTCCAGAAGTTCTCAGACGTTCTCAGGACCCCCTTGCCTCTTAAAAACAAGGAACCCTGGGAACTTTTACTTATGTACATTATATCTAGCTGCTAGGTGTGATGGTATATAGCTGTGATCCCGGCCCTTAGAACATGGAAACAAAATGGTCAAGAGTTCAAGGCCAACCTGAGCTATCTGAGAGGCTGTCGCAAAAATAAAAAAAAAAAAACTGGCACTATTTATGATATGAAAAATTTAAAGTACATATTTATTAAGCTTCTAAATATACTAAAAACAAATCTGTTAGACATTAATATTAAGCAATTATTATTTAAAATAGTCATTCTTGGGAGCAGCACTAATTTAAGACAATGATACTGTTTCTCAAAGCTCTTTAATGTTGGGCTACATTCTTTATCAGTTTCGGCATTCAGCCTGCTGTGGTAGCCACATCATCATGGAAGCCACTTTGGGGAAAGGAAGGCACTGTAACTTTGGGAATAGGAATAAAAAAAGGTAAATAGTGTCTTCATAGTGTTATTATAAAAAGAGTTGAAACCTTTGCTTTTGCAGGGTCTCCAAGACTCACAGGGGCCCCAGACTACACTTTGGGGCCCATGCTGTTAGCCTTCTGCACACTGCCCCCCTGTAGAACCTGCCTTGTTCTTTGCCCTTATAGTGCCCCAATAAGATGGGGTTCCTTTTGCTCTATAAGTCTCCAGCTCAGACTTCGTGGTTTTCCCAGATTCTTCATCCTGGACTCCCATTCCTGCCCTGCTGGCCCCATTTGGGTAAAATCACACTTTTATGGTGCTGTACAGAAAGTGTGGCATCTGTTTCAAGCTTGTTTACCAGCCTGGAACAAAGCAGAGCCCCTGTGGATCCAGCTGAACATGTGGATGGATGAGTATAACACAACATGCCACCCGTGTCTGTGTCTCTTGGAAAGATCTACTATTCACAAGAAACCAGTTCTTCTGAAAGCCAGCAGGGTGTCATAGGTCTGTAATTCCAGTGCTCCAGAGGCAGGGGCAGGAGGATTCCAAGGCCAACTGGAGCTTTGTATCAAGAAACTTTCTCAAAACAACCAACCAACATTTTGCTGGGGTCCCTGCAAGAAAATGAAATGGAAATGTTTATGCTGATATATATCTTTCCCTTGGACTTGGGAAGTTGAACAGTTAAGTCCATGTGGCTTCAAAACCTATATAACAACTACCTATCTGTAAAGCCTCCATTGTATCGCTCTCCTCTATTTGGCCAGATTGGAATTCAT